GGATTCATTTCACCATCATAATCTATCTTGGTGCTCAGTAGCTGCTACAGATGTAGTCCTAGGAGTCCCACTATTGCTCATGGTGGCAGAAGACTTTTCCAGAAGGCCTTGTCCATGTGATGTTGGTTTTTTGGGCATGCAGAATACAAGCATAGGGGGATCTTGGAGACTTCCACCAAGTTTCCAAAGAAAGAACCTAGAGTCCAGGTAAAAAAAAATACAAAAGTATGAGAGTTCTTAGCAGCAGATCTTCAGTGGGCAGTATGTGGAGCATGAGGAGTATGGCCAAATCTCTAATGAAAACCTAGAAGCTTGGACAAGATCTTCTGTGTAAAGCATAAGGTAGCTAGTAGAAGCCCAAGAAAGACATCATGTGGACTGAAATAAGCAAAGCCATATGAGTTTGTCTTTCTAAGCTTCCAGAACTTATAGTACACCATCAACCCCTGATAACAGACACGGAACTATAGGACTTAGCATTTGTCTTGACTTTAGTGTTTTATTTTGCTCTGTTTTAATTCCTTTCTATCCCACTATTCCTCCATTTTCAAATGAGAGTATTTATCTTTTTTATTGTACCTAGATAACATATAACTTGTTTTTTACTGTTTACAATAACTAACATCTAAGAATTGTCATGAGTCTCAGAATAAAGTTTGCACTTGGATGTTAAATAATGCTGTGCTTACTAAGATTTGATGGAATTAGTGGATTTTTGGTTGTACACAAGAAAGTTACTCTAGGTGTAGTTATGCACTTGTTGCCTTTGGAGTTTAAATGTAGCTTATAGTAATACATTTGGGTATTAAATTGAAAAGGGTTGCATTGTGAGGTTTAATCTTGATTATAAACTTCACTGGATTAAGAGACACCTAGCAAATTAGTAATGCATAGTTTGGAATATGTTTGGATAAGTCATGTGGATGTGACCTTTTGGATGACATCTGGTCCCTGATCCCTTCCCCTCTGCCATGTTTGCCCTGTGCTCTGCTTGCTGGTGGTCACAAAGTGAGAATCTCTGTTCTACCATGTTCTTCCACTATAATGTCTCTGTCTTGGAGTCAGCTTACCACAGACTGAAACCTTTCATCACTGAAAAGCTGGCCAATGCACACGCCATCCATAATAAACTGTTCATCTAACAGGATTTAATAAGAAAATAGTAGAATACCAAAAGTATATATTAGAAATCATTGTCTGTACTGGGTGTGGTGTCACATGTCTGTAATTCCAGCACTTGGGAGGCTGAGGCAGAAGGATCCCCATGAGTGCAAAACCAGCCTGTGCTATACAGTGAATTCAAGGACAGCCCAAATTACATACTGAACTGCTGTCCCCCTCATAAAAACAAACAAAAAATCAAAAAACCTTAAATCATAATCTGTGGTTGGCTCTTCTGGACTACTCTTTATGATATTTTCTACAATTATGTGTGAATTTTTAATATGAGCTTCTATTTTGCTGCAGAATAAAAAAGACACTATCAGTTTTCTAAACATAACTATCAATGTATGTTTATTGTTATAGATAAATATTCCCCAAAGCTCATCTATTGAAAGATTTGTCCTTCAGTGATGCTATTAGGATGTTTGGCAGCGGTGGAGGTCATAGCCTTAAGGGAGTGTATCCCTGCAGGGCATCATGAGACTACTGTCTGTCATCTTCCACCTCTTTCTGGCTCATGATATGAGCAGTTTCCTCCAGGGTGTTCCCCCCAGTACCATCTTCTTTGGGCCTGCAACCTTTGTTGCAGGCCCAAAGCAGAAGTTTCATAGTATCTTGGACACAATTCTCCAAAATCAGAAGTGAAAATAAAACTTTCTTTCTTTATAAGGATGTTTTTATAATAACATGAAGCTGATTAACACATTTACATATAATAACAATAATTTTCCTATGCTAACAATCTCTTACACAAAGAAAAAAAATCATCATTTCATTTTAAGTTTCATCAAATTATAGCAGTATGATTAAAGTAATAATTTCAAGTTCTTTCACCAGAAACATCAGTTTCATTTTGGAACTCATTTAAAATGCAAATTTTCAAGCCTTACTCAAGAACCATTAAATTAGAAACATTGGAATGAAATCCCATTACTCAGTACTTAGCAAGTCTTCTCAGTAATTCTGATATGTATTAAAAATATAGTCTCAAATTAAAAAGATGAATATTAATACTTAAATACCACCGAGAACTCTGACCAAGGCAATGTCTAACGGTGCCTTGGGAAAAGGACTATTACAGAGGCCCCCAACCTCATAGATTCTTGTGTAATAATCTCCACGTTGAGAAAGTTGCAGGCAAGTAAGCCCAGCCTATGAGAGCTGCCACGACAGCTTTGATAGCAAAGCCATCGTGCAGGTTTTCCTGAAGTCTTGGGGCCTGAACTCCACCCCAAGTGTGTCTAGGGGCAGGACTTCCTGTCAACCAAGTTTATTGTAGAGGCTTAAAATGTAAGCTTTTACTGTTGGGTTTTCAACTTGTCTGTGATCTCTTATGCTTCATCTCTTTTTCACTTCTCTATTTTGGAATGGATATATCTAAGCTATACTTGCCATGCCATTGTATTGTAGAAAATCTCAACTTGTTTGATATTACAAATTTACAGTTCAGGAATAATTTGCTTTAAAGACATATACTTTAAATTTTATCCAATCTCTTTTAGATGACATTTAGATGAGACTTTCCATTTAAACTTCAAGGTTGATGCTGGATCAAAATTTTTGAGGAAAAAAGAGATGGAATAAATCTATTTTGTGTATAAGAAGGATAAAATTGTATAAGGCCAAGCTGAGAGTGCTATGGTTTGAATGCTAGTATACCCTTAAATTTGTGTATTCTAATTTAATCCCTTTAATATTTTAATAGAGTTGGGTATTTTAGGAGGTGGTTTGGCCCAAAGTGGAGTCATCATTAATTGGATTAATGCCCTTAGTGAAGCCTTTAGTGAAGTGTTTTTCCCCTTCTGCCATATGAGGTCCCAAGAAGAAAACACCATAAATCAGTAATAGACCCTCACTAGACACAATCTCCTGTACCTTGATATAGTTTTCTCTAGAAGTAGAAGCTTCTAGAAGTATGAGTGACATATTTGTGTTGTTTAGTAATTACCCAACTGAGATTGTATGTATAACAAGAGGATTAACCTGAGAAATTCCTTGGTTAGAATCACATTGTATATGTCCAGTGTCTCCACCTTAGAGACATTTTAAGTCTTTTACATGACCTATGGACTCTATTGTATATTATTAACCAGCCCAATATATAAGCTATCGAAATGACCAGGAGTTAAAGAAAGAGAAAGAGGCAGAAAGTTCTGAGGTCCCACAGTTGTAGAGCAACTGAAGTACAATGCAGCCTTGGAGAGGTGTTAGTACCCAAAAGCAATCCATGGAGACTGTTGTTAGCTGCGAACAAAAAGCATGGGCATAAGGTCTCCAGGACCATGTGTGTCCAACTCTTCTTTGGATATTTGTGAATGATGAAACATGGAGTCAAACAAAATAATCCTTAAGCTTTAAGATTTAATGTGTCTACACTGTTGAGTTTTGGACTTACTTGGCACCAATTATTCATTTCTTGTTTCCTATTCTCCCCTGGAGAATGGGGCTATTTCATGTTCGTCTCACCAGTCTATTTTGAAAAATCATAATTTCTTTGATACAGTTTCATAGCTGAATGGGAATATGCCTCAAGATTAATCAGACTTTGAGTCTCACCCATACCTGACTTAGAAAATACTTCAAGGAAACTTTATACTTATAATTTTTTTTTGATACTGGGAGTCAAACTCAGGACCTTGTGCTTGCTAGGCAAGCACTTGTGCCACTGAGCTATATTCCCAACCCTTATACTTATACTTCAAAGGTAATGCTAAAATGAATTCAGAACTCAGGGAAGCAATAGGATGGGAAAAATCTTAATTTTAAGTAAGAAAGACATGAACTTTAAGAAAACTAGGGTTTGAATGGATATTCCATCCAAAATTCATGTTGAAATTCAGTTTATATTGCCACTAACTCTTTGGAAATGATCAGCTATGAAGTACTGCATTTAAGATTGAATGAATGCTCCAGTAAGAGAAGCTTTAGAGAGGGTTCATGTCATTTTTTATCCTCTGCCTTCATTCATGTTTGTATGTACCCCAAAAATGGAGCAATAAGACATAAACTTGCAAACTGAAGGATTAAGCCTCACAAGGCACCAATGCCCTGAAAACTAAATCTCTGTGCAGAGCAGCCAGTTAAACCTATGAGATTTTGATGAAAGAATTTCAAGATAGTAATTGGGAGTTGTTTTTATGACTAAGTTTGTGACCATTTGTTATGTAGAAGGGAAGACTAATATATACTCATTATGAAAAGATCATTGGCTCACCAAAATATTAACAGATGAAACACATTTAATTAAGAACGACAGTGAAAGATTATGTTGACAGGTCATGGTATAATGATAATTATTGTCTGTCCATTCATGATTTGGATCTCAGTGCAGGCTCATAAGTCAGGTATAGAATACAAATCTTAAAAAAGTAGATTTAGAAATTACACTTTTCTTAATATATTATACACAGTACTTGCATTCATCTAGTAATGGGGTGGAATTGTTATATATACCAACCCAGAACTAAAATTTATAATTCTAATATACATATAACCTTGTTTAAAATCTTGTATCAATAAATAAACCACAAAATAAAGCAAATAAAAAAGGAAAGTTATACAGTGGATTTGGCAAAAGATATATTTTTATAAGGGACATTAAAATTGTAACTAATCTTCACTGATAAGTGGTTAGATTTATTTTTTCTGTATGTGTGAATAAATTAAAACAACATGAAAAATCAGACCAACTATTTCACTAATATGTAAATCAATCAGCCATTTTTAAATATAGGCAATTATAAGGAGTGAAAATAAAGGTAGCAATGGCTGCTGTTGTTGTTCCCCTTTAACTCACAGGATTCTTGGTCTCTTTATGATGTCACCTTTCTGTATCACTAATCTGAATTTACACAGTAGTAAGTCCTGGCCAAGTCATAGGTGGGGAAAATGTCTGTACCAAGATTGTAAGTTCTTTTGTGACTTTTTGTTTTAAAATAACCCAGTACTTTACTTAGCTTTATTTTCTTTGTTCTGAGGTGATCTTCACTATAATATTATTATGCCATTCACAAGCATGAGAGGATATGTTTAATCAGAGACCTACATTCTCAAGCAACATCATAGGTTATTTTGATCTAAGACAAAGTTCATGTGCTTCACCAGAATAGGTGTTTTGGGGTGTGTTTTTTATTGACTTGTAAGCATTATGAAATTTCATTTTATATTGTATACCAGGGTATAAAAAATTAAAGAATTTATGATTCTTAAGGAAACTCATCTCCCTAGCATACACTTGGAAATTTTTAGGAACCTGGTTTGCATATATCACAGTGACTCAGAAGGGCTGTTGAGCTTTAATCGGTATGAGTAGGGGTGTTAAACCTTTAGAGTTGAGCAGCGCTACAAAAGACAACTGACGAATCATTAATTATATTTCCCTTGATTTGGAACTCACTGCAGGATCTCAAAATGAAGACTCACACAAACTTAGTTTGCTGTCACACACTTAGCCATAAAAACAACACACAATTACCATCACTAACTTAGTTTGCTGTCATACACTTAGTCGTAAAAAGAACACTTGATTACTATCTTGAAGTTCTATATGTCAGAGGCTCCCAGGTTTAATTGGTCACTCTGCTTAGAGTTTCATTTTCGGGGCACTTTGTCTCCCAGAGTAAAGTTCCCACGTGTTTGGTGCCCTGTGAGGTTTAAGCTTTCAGCTTCCAACTTCGTGCCTGATTGCTCCATTTTCTATCTGGACACTAACATGGATGCAGGCAGAGGAAAAGTATACTCAGTAGAGGATAATATTTTGCAACATAAAATAGGATATTTTGACTCGAGAAGTTTGATGAAGATAGTTTCCTTATATTTATTTTTTGTTAAAATAAGACAAGAAAACAACATTTCCAAATATATAAACTTTTTCAAAAAAAATGGTAAGAGAATGGAATTTTGCAGTGGAAAAAAAGAATGATTAGCTTTTAACAGTGCTGTTAAAGGGAAGATGAGCCATAAACATTGAAAATAAAATGAATTCTCATAGGCAATGTTGTCTATTTCCTTATAACACAATCATTAAAGGGCAAATTTGAATGTGTTTGTCACTATTTTGAATCTAGTCATCTGTGTTCTAACATCTACAACGTCAGGATAATGCTATGTCTTAAATGTTTTAACACTCTGAAGTATCATAAAACATCATTTAAAATCAGAAAATTATATTTTGATACATGTATACTATATTTAATTTTTAAATCAGGTTGAACATACTTCTTTCTCAAATACTTATTAATTTTGATAAAACCTTGAATCCTTTTAGCTTAGCTTTTTAAGTAAACGGTGCATTATTATATCCATTGCCTCCTTTATATACAGCAGCACACCAGAACTTGTTATTCCTATCTGACTAGCCACTATCAGACCTTCTGTATTTCTCCCTTCTCTCCGATTGCCTCAGCTTCTGTTAACCACCACTGTAAGCTCAACTTCTGTGAGATCAATCATTTTCTGTATCACATATGATTGGACTCATCTGTCTGTGCCTGACTTATTTCATGTAACTTAATGCTCTTCAGTTCTAGTTCTTATTTCCCTAGCGTTTTGAGATGCAGAGCTAAATATTTTGCTTGAGATCTTTCTGAAATTTTGAAGTAAGTGTCCATTGCTCTCAGCTTCCCCCTTTGGACAAATTTTGCTCTATGTCACAGGTTTTGACATGTTGTGTCCTTTTCACTTGCTGCAGTAAATTGTTAATTTTACTTGTGAATTTTTAAAAATTTTTTATTGGTGAATTTTAAATATACATAATTATCATAATAATCACTGGGAATTTTTACCCATACATGATATAGTTTCATTACTCTTCCCCCCCACAACTCCTATCCTCACTTCAAGCCACATTCCCCTCCCTATTGACAAAGCTTTGTTTCCGTTTTATAATTTTTTTACTCAGTTTTTTCTTCCTTCACTTATCAGCTGTTCAAAAGAAACTGCTAGGGAAAGGAGAAAAGAAAGAAAGAATGGAAAAGTTTTTATATATATGATAGCTAAAATAACTGTACTACTAATTTCTATTGGTTTATTGTAAGGAATGGTTAATACTTAATTTTTTGAACATCTTACATGCTTATATCTGGTAATCTGAACAACTACTCTGAAGATAACAATGTGCAATATAACAGCTATTGTTGCTTTCCTATCATCTTGTTTTGAAATTCTGTATCATTTTAATGGTTTTTAACTTTTTATTCTCTTTAAAATAAAAAAAAAGTAAGTTAATTTCCATGTATTTATATAGCTGCAAAAAATTTTCCAACTATTGATTTCTAACATTTTTTCTTGCATTGTGGACAGGAAAGAGAGTAGAAAAAATTTCAATTTTTGAAAATCTCTTTAGACTTATTCTGTGGCCTATCATCTTAAATAGCTTGGAAAATATTCCATATGCTATTAAAATAAAATGTTCTGTAGTTGTCTGTTAAGTCTACTTGGTCTAGGATGTACTGAACTGTTATCAATAAACTTCTTTCTTTATAATGTGTTTTTATGTCACTGCAAATTTTAATGTTTTATTACACTTACATCCTCTTGTTTTTTTTTCTGGTAGGTAAAATTACTTAATGTAATCAGACATTGTACTATATATACTTATCCCATCCATTTAATAACTCTGATTATTTTCATAGATGCCATTGGATATTCTGTTCATCCAGTCATATTCTCCTTAAACAGAAAATATTTGATTTCTTTCTTTTCAATCTTGAAAATTCTATTTTCTTAAAGAATAAAATATAGTATGGATTAAAAAACTGAATAAAAATGATACAATTGAGCATTTCCTCCACGATACTCTATCATGTCTGTTCTGTTGAAGTTGGAACACACATTTATTCATCCCTATTACTGGAAACAAGATTATCTTACATAATAATGAAGATCTGAGAATGAAAATCTATTTACCTAGGTGTAAATGGGACATACTAAAGTATAAAAATGATTGTTAGAGAAATTTTGCAAACCTAAATAAAACTTTTTCATTTTATTTTAATAGCCAAAAAGTAAACTTTGGAACATATGACAATTATATTCCAGGTAAGAGAGAGTTTGATATTTATATTGTAAAACATATGTGATTAATTAGGGATTAAATTATCATCTTTCATTCAAATGATCAGTCAAAAATTATCATAGAATACAATTGATGATTGTTTTATTTTCCAAGTTTTCCTCCTCAGGGATTCAGGGAGCACTGTATAATTTTTGTTTTAAATATAAGAAACAGTAAGAAAATACACTCCTTAATATAAATGTGAATATATGTACATGTTAGAAGTCATGTAGTCAAATAATCTTACAGTTGAAAACAAATATAGAATTGCACAATCACTCATCCAACTTCTTTTACTACATTCCTGATAGATTATATCCAGTTTATAATTGCCAAAAAAATATCCTTTCTAGACAAGATAAATCTAATTAAGTGATTTCATTATCAAGTGATTTTACTTCATATATTGATCTTAACTATGTCTTTCATTCTGTACATTGAATTACTTATTGATCCTATTGTCTTTAGAAGAGCAATGGGAAATTTTTTTCACTTCTATATAGAAATAATGAAAATACTTAAATACGGTCATGATATCTCCCATAAGCCTCATATCCTTAATCAATTGTGCCATAGTTTCCAAGTAACTTTACCCAACCACCACTCTATAAAAGATTTGTCAATTTTTTATTAAGTATATTACCAATAGCAATCTTGTTCTCGGGTCTGTAACATTTACTTTTGCAACTTATAAAATAATTATTAACTTAAGGGATCATAAAACTCAGTACTTAGCCTCAACCACATAATTATTAAATATCTTATGTCAGACACCATTGTACTAAGTACTTTGGGAACAGAGGAAGTGGTTAAAATGTTTTCTGTTCTTAATGGAATTGTACTCAAATAAAGGAAAGAAAGAAGAAAGAATGAAAGAAAAAAGGGCATAGAATGGAAGAGATAGGAAGATATAAATGGAAGTAGTAATGCTACCTTTTTGCATTATATTACAGACTATGTTAGTTTCACAATGACAACTTTCTATAGGCATTTAAAATGGTATAGATAAAAATTAATTTTTATTTTCTCAAATTTATCATAGTACATTTAAAATGTTATCTTAAAAGTGAATCATAATTTGATACATTTTTTATTTATTTCTGTAATGAATAAAAATGCACTTAGTGCCATTCCAGTTCTTAGGAATTTATAACCATTTACTCTAAATTGTATTTTTTTTTCTTTCTTATTTTAGTCAGTGAATTAAGCAAAAAATCATGGAATCAACAACACTTTTCCCTGGCATTTCCCAAACCACAACGGCCAGGAAAAAAAAAGAGAACAATACCTTCCCAACTAAGTAAAAGTATAACTTCTGTAAGTATTGAATGATCAAGTGCTTCTTATTAATAAATATTGCCATTTTAATAATAAGCATGTGAAATCATATACAGTTGTTATGCGTTATGCCTCAGAGCTGGCCAAACAATTTCTATGATGATGGAAATAGTCTATATCTTGTAGTCCAATGAGGCTGCTGAACATTTGAAATAAATCTAGTGAAACTGAAGAATTGCATTTTATATCTAAATTAAATTTAATTTATGCAAGGAAAGCCAGAGTCATATCTGTTTTTAAATGCCATATTTGACAACACAATTAATAAGTAATTCAAATCCTACTATGCAAATAAAGTCAACATACTTTATTTTCATTTCATCACTTATGTCATGTTAACTATTTGCTCAGTTCTCCTTCATTATATAAAACATGTACCAGAGGCACAGAAATCTAGAGGGTGTATTTGATGGTTAATATACACACTCAGGACAGGTTCACCATCAGGAGAAACTCCCTCATTACAGTCATGGAATTATATATGCTCTGAAGGAGTTTTAAAGCTTACTTACTTCATATACTATAGAGTTCAGGATTCTAAGTATTGAATAATAAGCATCTCACAATATTTCTGGAGTAACCATGGGGTAGAATAATACACAAACACAATTTTTCACAAATTCAATAGATCATTAAATCTTCTGTATTTTAGGAAAGAAAGCTCATCAGTAATGATCCATGTTTTTTGCTTGTTTTCTTTACCCAACTTATTTTACTATTTGTAACCTTCCTATCAAATAGTTTTTAATGTCTTCATGTATTCCATTAGAAGTTGAAATCAAATATAGCATGATATCTACTGAGTGTTAGAGATTTCATCATTTCTGTTATCTATCATTTTCCCAATTAGGAAGGGTTTCAGTCTTCTACACAAATTTGCAATCATTCTAGTATCTTGAGACTTTGAAAGTGAGAACAGATATCAAGATATTCTTAAACCTAAAACTGTTAGATATTAGGCTGAGTAGTTTCTGAGTTCATGTAGAAATGGATGGTAGACAAGATATTTCAAGAGTTATCAAAGACACAGCGTCCAAAAAAAAAAAAAATTAAAAACCTCTCCTGATTATGAAGTGAGTTCCTAATATATCATAAGTCGATGGATAGCCCTTAGACTATTAACATAAAATCTTGAGCTAATCATGAAAGCTACCTAAATTATAATGGGCCCCAAATGAAATGTAATTATCTATTAGTTTAAACATAATGAAATTCAATACCAAAAGGCCTGAAATCTATCATTTATCCACGTTTTAATAAAATTTAAACTAACATATAATTGGTAGTTGTGAAATTCTGCATGACTCACAATTTATTCTTTTTTACTCTGATCAATACTTCAGGTAGTCGACGAAGAAAAGCTAAAACGTGAACGTAGACGACCGTTATGGATGTATCGGTCCTTAATGAAAATTCCCGAAAGACCGTCTGTTTATTTAGCTGCTAGGAGAAAGCCTTCACCTAAACGAGCTCCTCCCACAAAGGATCAATCAGAATCAGAATCAGAAGCACAGAAAGACAAGGGTTCAGATAAAGAAGGTAAAAGTGTAAAGGCAGAGATAAAGAAAGGTAAAAAAAGTGTCAAGGAAGGCAAAGATTCAGCCACGGAATCCGAAGGTGAAAAAGGCGGGTCGAAGAAAGGTAAAAAAGGTTCAAAGGAGGGCAAAGATTCAGCTACGGAATCCGAAGGTGAAAAAGG